GACTTAAATATATGTCTATTAAAAACTTATGGAAAAATAATTAAAAATTTTTTCCAACCTTGAGACACCAAATTTTCCCAAGAGCCTCCTCCTCTGTCTTCACAGTTCTACCTCTTTACTGTGGCTGTTGGCACAGGTCACATTCTTGGGTCTCGTCTGAATCACTAATTCATCAAATGTTTACTGAGTTTGTGCTGCACATCTGGGCTTTGGGAAGGTGGAAGGAATCTGAGGTTAAAGACACATGGGTCTTCCAAGAGACCCATGAGAAAGACTAGGTAGATATTATACTCCAACATGCGCCATTGTCAAAGATTAAAAAAAAAAAAGCCACACACCGATGTGGTTAAGGACAGATTTTAATTGTAATATACTATTATAGTAGGGAAGTAGGGAAAGAGGGTCTAATATGAACTCAACTTTGATTTACAGAGTGACTGGGTGTGTTACAGAGGAAAGAGGGAGTAGGGAGTGGGGAGAGCTGGGGCTCAATAGAGTCAGGGAAGTGAGAAATGCAAAAAGTTGGTCAGTGTAAACGCTGATGATTAGGCCAGCTGTGTCTGCCAGCTGTCAGTCATCAAAGTTAGGATCCTGTCCTTCCTGATGATTACATTTTAAAGGAATAGCTTCCAGATCCTGGTCGTAACAGATATATAGATGGATAGATATATAGGTAGATATGTCGATGTCGAAATAGGTACATATATTTCAAAGGGACAGAGGAAGAATTTATGCTTGTAAGGCCCTTTTAGTAAGTGCTCTAAGAAAAGGTGGTCAGATGCCTACTGTCAGACATCAGTTAGAAAAAAGGGTCAATCCCTTTGTCAGCCTTGAGCACTCTCAGGCAAGTGCTTTAAGGGGGTGGGAGTAGGGTCATCCTGGGGATGTGGCCTTGAGCTGTTAGAAGCTATATTAGTGTTCGTTCAAGTCTTTGAATGTGTGGGAGAAGGCAGACAAAATGGTTTTTGTTGAGATTCTGTAGTTTTTCTAGGCCAGGGTTGAGGCCTAGTTGAGAAGAGGGATCAAGAGGAGCCTGGCTAGAGTTTGGTCAAGCACTTTGTCATTGTGCTGCCCTGAAGGTGCGCACAGGCCCTTGAGGTGGTGCACGTGTCCATCTATCCAGGGACGAGGGTCAGCCGGACTGGAAAGACCACTTCCAGTAACCTAAATGAGTCCAATCAGAAGAGGAAAGGTGGCACAGAAGGGCAAGGTTCAGGTTTATGGGGTCTTACATGTATATAATTAAAAAGGCCCTCTTAAAAAAAAATACAGAATTAGAAATACAAAATTAGGTGGTGGGCCTGGGGCGGGGGAGCCTGAAAATGAGTGCAAGCCTCCTTTGGCTCATGAGAAATCTGCCTCCTGGGAAGAGTATGTTCCAGACCCTGTGAATGGCGGGAACAAAGAAGGGGAGGATAGAAAAGACCTGGCATGTTTAGGAACTGAAATAATTCACAACTGCGTTTGCATGAAGGATATGTAAATGTTAAGCTAAAGAAATACCTGGGGATCTAATCCCAGAAGGCCTTAGGGGGTCATCCTAAGAGTATGGATTTACTCTGTCAGCGTTCAGGAGTCACAGGAGGATTTCAGGCAGGGGAGTGCCTTGATCACTTATTTAGGTATTAGAAAGATTATTCTGGAAGAAAGTGTGAAGGATGGGCTCGATCTGGTAAGGCTGGAAGGAGATGCCAGACAGAGGTTGTCTATAAGGCCCTCCTACCACACGCCGATGAAAACCAATGCAATCACACCATATTCTGTATACATGATCTTAAAACAGATGCCAGGGTTCAGGCAGAGAAAGTTGCTCTTCATCAAAACCATTTCTAGATTATTATTTCTCTAAGTTAAAAAAATGTATTTACACATGTTTTTATGGAAAAGGTAGTCTAAGACTTGTTGTTGATGAATCTTGCATGGTATTCTATTTTATTTTATGAAAGATTTAATTTATTTATTTGCCAGAAAGAGGGTCGGGGAGAGGGAGCACAAGTAGGGGGAGGGGCAGAGGGAGAAGCAGACTTCCTGATGAGCAGGGAGCCTGATGTGGGGCTCGATCCCAGGACCCCAGGATCATGACCCGAGCTGAAGCTGAAGGCTTAACTGACTGAGCCACCCATGCGCTCCTAACATTTTATTTTTAATAAAAAAATATATATTTGATTTATGTGTCCCTGGGTATCATGCATCTATAAAAAGGAATAGATTTTAAAGTCAGATAATTGTGTCGCACCTTAATGTTTAATATTCTGTTTCCACGCAGGCCACTTTGGTACAGAGGTGCCCCAAGCAGTGTGGACTCTGAGTCACCCAGCCTGTGACAAGCCTGTGGGGGCAACACCATCTACTAAAAGCAAAAATCTTAGACGAAAAGCACATCTACTGTTAGGTGGGTCCTGCCTACTGCTTTATACCAGGGAGTTCCTAGGTCCCCGGAAGCTGGTACTTGGTTTTCCCCTTCAGGTTTTCCTTTTTAATTTATTGACAAGTCTTCACTTGGATAGAGTGATGAGAACCCATGCGGAGGGAAGAGCTGAGATGAGGCATCTGGAAAGAATAGCCATCAAATCACGTAACTTGTCTTTCAGTCTATCTCAGAGAGAAGAGCGATTATTTGGATTTGGTCTGTCCTTGCTCTGGTACAGAGGAAAGGGAGGCGATTCACAACACGCCTGCAAATGTGACAGTGACAGCAGCTACGTATTACTCACCTCAGTGTAGTCTAAGTACCCTCACGTTGCCCAGATCTGAGGGGATGTTCCGGCTTTCTGCTTCTATGGCAGCAAATGAGGGGGGCGCCTGGGTGGCTCAGTTGGTTAAGGATCCGCCTGTTGATTTCAGCTCAGGTCAGGATCCCAGGGTGGTGAGATCGAGCCCTGCGTGGGGAGTCCACTGGAGCTTCTCTCTCCCTCTCTGCCCCTCCCTCACTCCCCCTCTCTCTAAATAATGATGATAATAATAATAAAGGAGCAAATGAAATTATTGGGGAGGTCTGGTATCTAGAGGAGGTAAGAGCCATGCTGCTGTGGTGGCAAGGACTGGCCTCACGCCCACCCCTTCTGCGCGGCACCCCCAGCTAGCCCTGCAGGCTTTGGCAACCGAATCTGGAATCACGGCTGTGTCTGATTCCTACATTCTCTACTTAGGAAGCTGACATTCCCCAAGGTGAAGTGACTCATTTTTGTTCACATTGGCCAGCCATCAACCTCCATTTCCCTTCTATCTGTTGCTTTTCGGAGGTCATGTTCTCACCACGAGGTCACACTATTTTATTTCAAAAATGCTTGCAGGTGTTAAATCCCAGGGGTCTTTACTGACTCTTTCCATCTCTAAGGATTTCAACCATCACATCCTGTGGAAACTCTTCTCAAACAGCTAAAAAAGCAGAACCTGCTCGTGTGTGTTCATAACATCGCACGGGGTGTCACGCAGACACTTGCTCATGCCATCACTTAGCGCAGGGGCACAGTAAATCCATCCATTTTATTGATTAAACCACGGAGAATCAGAAAAGAGCAGACTAAGCCAGGCAAAATTCCTTCAGTTCCCACCGTCGGGGAAATCTACTTAGATTTTTTTTTTAAAGATTTTTATTTATTTATTTGACAGACAGAGATCACAAGTAGGCAGAGAGGCAGGCAGAGAGAGAGGAAGGGAAGCAGGCTCCCTGCTGAGCAGAGAGACCCATGTGGGGCTTGATCCCAGGACCCTGGGATCATGACCTGAGCCGAAGGCAGAGGCTTTAACCCACTGAGCCACCCAGGCGCCCCTCTACTTAGATTTTCTGAAAGAACCTAGGAAATGCTTCTTCAGGGGCCCCTCACTTTCTTGTGCATAATTATTTTGTTATTCAGTCTAAATACATGTGTCACCACACAGGGCTGCCATGTCTCATAATAAGAAGAGTCATTTTGTTCTTCCTTCCTTCTGATGAACCCGCTCTCCTCTCCTCTGACCCACACCCCCCTCCCGCCATGTTCCCAGCGACCAGTAACATCCTTGCGCAGGGTAAGCGGGAAGCAAACCAGCTGGCTTCCGTGGAGATGGGTTATTTCAACCCTTTCTAGAAAAGTGAAGTTCTCTACACGGAATGTCATAAATTCATCTCACGCCAGGACCCGCTCATTGGTTCATTCATTCATTCATTCATTCATCATTCACTGGTGGGACAGACATTAGGAGGAACTTGCCCCAGGAGCAGGACGGAGTATCCACTGACTGTATATTCACGAGGACTGCGCTTCAGGGCAGAGCAGACGCCCCAAGAACGCCAGTTCTGGGTCCCCCAAGACTATGAGGGAAGGCATTTGGGCTGGACTTTGAGGCCTGGGCTTCCATCTGGAGACAGAGGGCCTGGCAACAGGAAGTGGGAGATGTTGGGACAAGGACAGGGTCCCTGGAGGCCTGGTCCTGGAGGCTTGGGGAGACAGACCCGTGAAGGAGAGTGGAAGGCCAGCCCTGTGAGAGGTTCGGGAGTGAGGCTTCACGGAAGGTCGTCCACAGGGGGTGACAGCACTGCACTGACAGTGGCCCTGGGGAGGACCCGGTGGGGAAGACCCCTGGGGAGGATCTCGTGGGGAAGACGCGCCAGACCGCGGTGAAGACAGCACTGAAAAGGCCTGAGGCGATGTAGGAAGGCCAGAGCCGGGCTGCCGGCGGGGACGGTGGGGTAGGACCGCCGCGGAGGACAAGGTTGAAGAAAGAACAAGAGCGGGAGAAGCAATGCACAAGGGGGTGGGGCCGGGGGAGGACGCTGGGCCGGTCAAAGGCGAGTCCTACATTTCGGAATGCCAGGGATGCCCTTGAATGAAACAAGAGATGGAACACAATGGCCTGGGGTGAGAAGGTTCTGAGCTTAGCTCCGAGGAACGTGCGGACAAAAATCAAAGTCACGTCACTCTGCCCGCAGGCGGGAGCCCTGGGGAGAGGCGAGGGGATCCAGACAGAGGTGGTCGGGGCTCCGCACGCACGAGCGCCTTGTGGATTTTGGTGGGGAGCAGCACTGGCCTTTCGTCCTCGGATCCCCCTTTCGTTCTTCCTTCTCTTGTGGAAGTCACCGCAGCGCGGAGGTGACAACACCTGGAGCTGCACCCCTCCCCCGCTCCCGCGCAGTGACCCGCAGTTGGGTGGCGACCGAAGTGCTCTGGGCTCAGGGTCTAAGCCTCACGCTTGCAAATCCTTGGGCTCGTCCGGCGTGAGCTTCATCAGTTTGTCCACGCAGAGCAGGATGAGGGTGAGGAACCACAGGCTCCAGCCCACGGCCGCCGCGATCCAGCCGTACTCGTCCACGCTGGTGTGGCAGCACCGAGCCGCCTGGGGGCAGAAGTCCACGTCTGGGGGGGAAGGGAGAGCAAGAACAGCAGGGCGCATGGCACCCGCCCACCCAGCTCCTCCTCCGAGGTTTGTAGGAACAAGCAAGGCGTCATAGGAGAGCTAGCGTTCACTAAAGGATGCCACACAGTGTGTCAGGTGCTTCCCACACGCTCCCTCGTTCATTCCCCACCCGGGCGAGGGACAGCGACTATTCCCATGAAGGAGCTGAGGCAGTAACTCACCAGAGGTCTCCAGATGACAGACCAGGACTCAAACCCAAGTCTGAAGGAAGCCAAAGCCGTGAACTTAACCTCTACCTATTATTCTCTACTTAATCTCAACCTATTATCTACCTGTTCCCTCCTTTGGAAATGCCCAGAGGTAAACCCATTTGGTCATCCAGGAAGGGCAGCAGAAAGGGAGCCAGACATAGAATAAAACAACACTGTCTATGAATTGGACACAGGGTAACAATGCTCCCTGCTTTAGGAAGTACTGAGCTCCTTGCCATTGGGAGTAATCAAGCAGAGGATGGACAGAAATATGCAAAGAGTGTCAAAACAAAGCTCCTGTGTTGGGCAGAAGTTGGACTGGCGGATTTTTACGGTTTTCAGCCTTCTAAGTTTCTAATGTATCTTTGGTTGCTCTGCTGTGGATGGGTCACGAAAGCCATCTGTACCAAAGATTGTGAGCCTACATCAAGGCCAAGGCTGAGATAGCTTTTTCAATGTGCTATGCAGGAAGTTCTGGGGACCATGAACAAACCACACCAGGGCACAGGAAGGCCAGGCAGGCACTGTGCCACCAGACCCCATCAAGAGAAAGCAAGCAGGCTTTGAATTCCCTCCCAGATTCGGGGCCAGCTCTGGGGTGAGGCCAGTAGCCAGGAGAAGCTTACTGGGGCACTGCTCTAGGCTTCCGGGATCTGGGTGCTGGGTGGTCAAGGTTGAGTTGTTGCTGTTCCTCGCTTCTGGAAGAAAAGACAAAAAAGGGTCTCGGGCAGGAGGAAAATTCATCCCCAGGCATAGCGTTTGAAATCTTTTTTGTGAATTCAGTGATACTGCAAAAGTATTATAGAAGTCTCGGTCTAGGTACTTTAAGACTTCATGCAACAAAGCTAACCTCTGTTCTGGACTGAGCTGTCCCGTCCAAGTTCACTGAAATCCTAACCCATGGTAGTGACTGCCTGTGGAGAAAGGGCCTTTAAAGAGGTTAAATCAAGGTTAAATGGAGTCATATGGGTGGGTCCCCATCCTGTATGACTGACATCCTGCGAGAAGAGGAAGAGACACCAGGTGTGCACCTGCAGAGAAGAGACTGGGTGAGGTCACCGTGAGAAGGTGGCTTCAGGAGAAGACAAGCCTGCTGACACCTGGAGTCACCACAGCTGTCAAAAAAGAAATTTCTATTGTCTAAGCCACCGAGTCTATGGTATGTTGTTATGGCAACAAAGAAATACAGTCCCCTTTGCCTTTCGCTATTGTCATTCAGAGACGGTTTATCTGCATGTCTCACGGATTCAGGGCTTCACAGCTCATCTCCTTCATGTCTCACCCTTCAGTGGCCAACGGCTTGCTGCAAATAGCTTTCCAAACACTCTATTTTAGCTATTTCCCATGCAAAGAGCTACGTGTAGAAATGGTTTCTTTCATCTATTTGAGAACGATCACTTAACAAGCTGGAATGTCTTCTCATAACGATCTCCAATTCCCTTAAAAAATTTGAATGACTAGGGGCGCCTGGGTGGCTCAGTGAGTTAAAGCCTCTGCCTTCGGCTCAGGTCATGATCTCAGGGTCCTGGGATCGAGCCCCGCATCGGGCTTTCTGCTCAGCAGGGAGCCTGCCTCCTCCTCTCTCTCTGCCTGCCTCTCTGCCTACTTGTGATCTCTGTCTGTCAAATAAGTAAATAAAATCTTTAAAAAAAAATTTGAACTACTGAATGTTGAAATCTGACTTTGATTCTTGACTTCTGATGATTATGCTGGTATACCTCAGGTGGATGGTTATCAAAAAAGATCCAACACTATGCAACCAAGTCCAGAGGTGGCTAGGATTTGCAGCCACTAGAGTTGCCTCCTGATCAGGAAGTAAAGAGCACAAAGGCAAAAAGAACTTTCTTGGGAATTCTCAAAGTTCTGTCAGACTGCGGGGGCGAGGTGGAGCTGCGGAGATGAACGGGGAGATGCCCAAGCATGAGAAGCCATTGTCTGCTTTCCCTTTCATGACTGAGAATGAGAAGACGGATGATCTAGGTCTGCTCTGTCCAATATGGCAACTACTTGTAGCTACTTAAATTTATTAGAGTGGAATTAAAAATTTAACTTCCTGATCATATTAGCCACATGTCAAGCACTCCGTTACCACATTGGATCACCACATTCCGGAACGCTACCATCCTGGAAACACAGCATAGACGTGGAACATTTCTGTAGAGGCCGCTTTTAGACAACAGCCATGAGCTCCGGAAGCTTGATCAGGGCAAAAGGGCCCACAGCAACCCCCAGCTGAAAGCAAACAGGGTCACGAAGCCTCGAAATAGCCACCTTCCCTGACCCATTCCAACCAGGCACAGTTCCCTGGAACGGGAAGGTCTCTCTGTTCCCATGCTCCTTCGCTCTGCCCTGTAACTACAGCCCCTCACCACCACCTCGTGGCAGTCTCTCCCTGGCTGTCCTGCCCACTGCCCCTGGCAGTGAACTCAGTAAACTTCTATCTCCTTTGTTCTGCTTGGGGGGAACTCTCTCACTATTTGTACGGCTGGCTCTCACCCCATTGGGACACCCCACAACTTCCATCATCAAAAAAATTTTTATTAGATAGTGTTAGTCTAGGTAGATCAAGACCAAGAGGTCAATTGCAAAGAATTGTTCTGGAAATTAATTATATGCTGTTCAGCTTCCTTGAAGATGGTAAAAAAAAAAAAAAAAAAAAAAAAACTACTTTGGAAACTCTCAAGGCCCCTCTGACTCTAGAGCAGCGTGTCCTTCTAGGGCAGCCTGTCCTTCAAAGGAGCTTGTTGTCATGCCGCAGGACAAGTCAGGAAGAAACTCCTTGTTTAGCCAAAGCCATGAAATTGCTGCTCAGAATAATTTTATGCCACCCGCCCACCAAGCCACTCCAATGTCCTGCCTGAAGTATAGTAATTACCTTGACAAAATCTGATTGTTACTGTAAATTATTTACAACTAAATGGCTTAGAACCTGGTCTTTATTTGTTTTGGAGAAACTGATTCCTCCACATTTAATTTCCCTTAACTTCCTTGGCTTTGACTTTCATCTCCCCTCTGCCCTCAAATGGGAGTCGTCCCTGTCTAGAGCTAGTGGATGGAAAAAACCTATTTAATCAGTCACTGGTATTATGTGAAAGCGTTTGTAATCGCCATTTCGATAGGTCAAAAATTTTTTTATATCAGTGATTTTGTATGATTCGAACTGAATAGTCTAGTTAATAATTTCTAAGAATTTAAACCTCATCTTCCTCCCTCATAAGCACAGCCAGTCAGGGACTAGTCCCACTTAGGGTCACTTCCAAAGTACTGGGTGCTGGAAACACCCAACAATTAAGTGCAATTAAATTTGTCAAGTTTTTTCAGAGCCTATTATGAGCAAGTCACTATGAGGGTAAACAAACAAAAGAAACGAAACATTTATTTGGGAAGCGGTATTAGAAAATAAAACATGCTAACATTCATTGTTTACCCTGTGCTGATTTACTAAAAGTTCTTTATATGCAGTGGTCTCATTTCATCTTTAGGACAACCCTATATATATAAGCGCTATGATCATTCTCACGGTATGAATGAGAAAACTAGGGCGCAGAGACGTTACGTGATTTGCTCAAGGCTGCACAGCTCGTAGTTGTGGAAGCCAGACTTGAGCTGAGGCTGAGTGGCTAGAGCTCACGCTCTGAACCTGCAAAGGAGAGGCGGTGAGGATAAAGGAGATAGATAGAGCTCTGAGGGGTCATCGTGGGTTGGTTTTGAGAGAGGGAACTCTGTCAAGGACAGGGCAGGAGCTGCAGAGCAGAGATCAAAGCCAGAGGGCACCGCCAGGAGCAAAAGAGTGTGAGAAATATCTTCCTGCATGGGGTGCAGAGCCCAGCCTGAGAGAGCAAGCCAGGGGCTGCTACCAACCCCTCGCGTCTGGGAACAGACAGGGCAACAGCTCAGCATCTCCTGTGCTCGGGGAAGGTGGGAGCCTTGTAGACAGCGTTGGGCAGTGTTCCTGTCTGAGGATTTTGAGAAAGTTGCAAAGGAAGCACAGGGTCAAGGGAGAGACTGAGGACCTTAGGGCAGGATCAGGAGTATGAAGCAAAGCGGGAATCGCAAACCGCAATAGCCAGGGGCACAGGGAAGGAACCATTGAAACGCAGTAAGCCAATAAAATGTCACTTTAGGCCAGACCGGTCCTTGGATGAGAGAGACTGTGGGTACATTGCTTTTTCCTCTTTCTTTGTGGCAAAGTCCACTCGAGGTGGCTAATCCTGTCCAAGCTGAGGTGCCCAGCATTTGATCAGGGGCTTGGGTAAACGTCCGACACCCCCTACACCAACCCACCACCTCCTGTCTAATCCTTCAGGTGAGAACTGTTTGCTCTTTGCTTTGTGCGGGACCAACCCTAGCCAAAGAATCCTCCTCCTTCCCTCTCCCTCCTCCCACCCTCTTCCTCCCTCCTCCCTCTTTCCCTCTCCTCCTCCTTTTCTCCCTCCCCCTCCCCATCGTGGCCAAGAATAAAGCCCACAGTTCTACCTGCCAAGCAAGCCAAGTGGAAGGAGGCAAAGACCAGGCTGAGGGCCAGGGCAGCCCAGGGTGCAGAGGTGAGGCGCTTCATGCCGAAGAGGGAGAGGGAGAGGGAGGCGTCTGTCCGCACTATCCCTGCAGAGGTGCGCGGAGGGCTGTGTGTCATGTGTCCCGTGTGGACCGTGTCCTGCGGGAGCTTGAAAGCAGTGCTGTCAGAGGTGAATTTCTGCTTGTGTTTGGGGGAAGAAAGAGGGGGTGGAGCAAAAGGAACCAGCTGTCACTCCTCGCTCTTACCTCTTCAGGAGGGAAGCTGAGCTATGCTGGCTGGGGGAGGAAGGGAGGGGTAATTTATGCAATTCTGCCTTGAGTTCATTGGTTATCCCTGCTGATAAAAGAGGGGGCCAGGGCAGAGTTTTGTGCCCTGCCAGCTCCTTGAGGTTGAGTTGGCTGCCGCTTTCATCTGCCCGGTGTAGCCCTGGATCCTTGATTCTCTCCAGTCCAGTATTTACTGACAGCTACTATGCGTACTGAACTATGCTAGAATCTGGGAATGGCCGCCCTCGAAGTCCTTTCATTACACACACATGTCATCCAAACACAGACCAGTGTTTTGGGCATGACTGGGGAAGGACAGAGTGCTTTGGGTTCTTGGCAGCAAGAACCTACATCTGCAGATGGGATGCTTCAAGACCAACATGGTGTTGGAGTTGCGCCTTGAAGGGTGAATAGAATTTTCACAAAGAGAAGAGGAGGGCACAGTAGGCGGGAGGGACAGAGGAGTCAAGGGCCAGAGGTAAGGGGTGCTCGGGAGTCCACCGTGAGTCCACTGCAGCACAGATAATGGGACGGGACCTGAGGAGCAGGAGAAGGGGAAGTGACCAGCGAGCCGTGGGACTGAGACTGGTGTGCCAGGCTGGGGGGGTTTGAAACAACCAGGAGGAAAAACAAAGTCTTTGTGAAGATTTTGAACCAAAGAGTAACATTTATTGAACACCCCCCCCCCCTTTTATATGAAAGGCATCACCGTAGGCGTTTGGGACCCACCGATGCCTAACGTGGTCCTACTCTCGATCCCACTAATGGTCCAGCAGTGAGACCAGCCATAAAGAAAGATGTGTGGCACAGTATGGTAAGACTCAAACATGGGTGTCTTCTACAGCTGTGGGAATACAGGGGAGAGTGGTTCAACCTGCCTGAGAGGTACAGGGGAAGCATTCATGGGAGAAGTGACATTTGGGCTGGGTATTGAAGTTTGCATACACAGGTGGGAGCTGATGGGGCAGCCCACACAGGGGAAGGAGGATTGTCTGGGGGCCTGCAGGCCCATCATGTATAGATAAGTACTCTGTCTTCGTGCCCAAGAGCTGGTCTGGTCAAGAGAGCGAGGGATAAAGTCTGGCTGGTTCAAAGCTTTGTGGAAGGACATATAAGCCACGTGTCATTTTGGGGTAAGGGTGTCTTACCGGAGTACATCAGCCCAGAGGAGGCATTTTTTTCTAATTTGCCCAAAAGTACAAATGAGTGGTGGCCCTATAGTCTTGGGGTTGGAGGGTTGGGAGCAGAGGTGCTTTAAGAAGGCTAACCTGGGGGCACCTGGGTGGCTCAGTGGGTTAAAACCTCTGCCTTCAGCTCAGGTCATGATCCCAGGGTCCTGGGATCGAGCCCCGCATCAGGTTCTCTGCTCAGCAGGGAGCCTGCTTCCCCCCTCCCTCTCTGCCTACTTGTGATATCTGTCTGTCAAATAAATAAATAAAATCTTAAAAAAAAAAAAAAAAGAAGGCTAACCTGCAGGGGATGGCACACACATCCACGTTAGACATACCGCTTGGTGGAACGTTCAGTTACTGAGCAGCTGCTGTGTGCTGGGCATTCGCTATGGGAGGGGCTTCTGAAATGGCTCAGGCACCACAGTCCTTGTCCTCAAGGAGCTCAGGGCCCGGTGAGAGAGAGAGAGAGAGAGAAAGGAATAATGACAACACAATAAAATAAGTGTGGCAAGGAAGTCTCGACAAAGAACGGGAAAATCATGGAGGAGGGTTGGGGACTAGAGGGTTCAGTGAACATTTCATAATAAGGAAGGCATTTTGACCTGATCCTTGAAATCTGTGTGGTCTGCCAGGCACGGGAAAAGGGGACAGTGTATGTGCAAGACCCGTGAGGCATGAACGCGTGCCTCTTCTCTGGGGAGTAGTCACTGCCTTGGGAGCATGACTTGGGCTGAGGATGTGTCTGGTTTGACTAAGAACAGATCGTAAATGGTCCTGAATGCCAGACAAAGCAGACTGGCCTCTATTTTACCACTGGGGCCCCTTATAGGGAACTTGTGCATGTGGACAACTTTATATTTCAGAAACATGGAAGATAGATCCACAGAGGGCAGGCCTGGATTCAGAGAGGTCCTCTTAGACACTGTTGCTCTAAGACACTCTTGCAAAAATCCCAGCCAGACAGGGTACCTGGCTGGCTCAGCTGGTAGACCATGCTGCTCTTGATCTTGGCATTGAGAGTTCTAGGCCCATGTTGAGCGTAAAGCTTACTTTAAAACAAAACAAAAAAAAATCCCATCCAGAGATCCAAAGAGCCCTGAAATAAAAAGCTGGATTGAGGATAGAGAAGAGGGAATTAAGAGGCATTTATCTGGCTGAATCAACATAAGGGAACCCAGGGAGTGGCTTCCCCAGGTTCCAGCTGGGGCGGGTGGGTGGCCATGGAGTCAGCCTGGGGTGGAATTCCAGCCCAGCTTTTCTTGGCTGAGTGGCCCTGGCAAGTTACTTTATACCTCAGGTTCTTTATCTGACAAGAACTAAGATCCATCCCGTGGCTTGTTATGATGCCTGAATGAAGTGACCCACATGACAGGTTTCCCTGCAGTGCTGCGAGCCAGCGGTAGTAAACACTCAGTAAATGTTAACTCTCATTTGAACAGAAGGATCTTAAGTAGAAAATGTGGGATGGAGGTAGTTCTCTGGAAAAAAATAATGAAATCTATGTGTTGATTTATTTATATCCTGCGTGGATCCAAAAAGGGTTGAAGGAAGCTTCCCTACAATTAATTAAGCCAGATAAAATAAATTTAAAATGAAAGGGAAGAAATGAAGCAAAGGGGAGGAAATAGAAGAGGGATCTCTGAGTGACTTTAGAGCACAAAATGGCACACATGTTTTCTAAGCTTTGCATTGACCCGTGGGAAGAGGATAGGGTCATCTGCCTACAGGTCACCCGCATGACTCATGGGCTCCCAAGATGAAAAACAACAGAGTAAGTACAACCACTCTTGATACCAGGACAAGAGGCATTTTTCTCCTTGGGTCCTCCACAGAGATGACATGACTTAATGGGACGGACACTATTCTTGACATTTCCTTCACAGTAAACCCCGCGATAAGCCTCAGAGACTAGGGCTGATTTATCCCACAGATGCTAGAGATGACAGCAGTGCCTGGAGTTCAACAACATTTTCGAGGGTCTCGAAAATGCGGGACACCTGAAAAGAGGTTCTTGGCTCCAAAATATGAACAATAGACCGTACATTCAAAAGGAAAAGATGACTTCAAAAGCAAAGTTATACAATTTGTTTTCAACTTTTAAGCAGAAATGGACGTAGGGTGTTGGGTGCGTCTTAATACACTGGATGTGCTTGTCCCTCTGAAATGATGACAGCCTGGGACGTGCAAAGATTTGAAACAGCCCTGCCTAGGGTCATTGTTGATGGTGGTTTGAGTAGCACCCACTGATCTAAGCTGACAGCGTCCTATCGAATCATACCAGGGAAAGCAATTCTGGGAGTAACGGTAGAGAGAGCAAGGACGATAATCTGTCCCCTGTCTCTTTCTTTTTAATACACTGTGGTTTGACCCGGACTGTTTTAGATTAGGAGTTTGCAAATCAATGGAAAGACAAACATTCTCTTAACAGATGAGAGGATTTTCTTATCCTAAAATAGGATAGTATGGGCTTGATTGGTGTCTTATACCTTGTTAATTCCCAAAGTCTGGGCTGCATAGCAGATATTCTTACAAATATCACCATTATGAGCCCCCCCCCTTTTTTTTTTTGAACAGGTCTATACTTAATAACTCTGTGCAGATGGTTACCTCACCTAGCAACTCTCTCATACATTTTACATTAGGTTTGCTTTGGAGAGCGTACCGGGAAGTTGTGTTGCTCAAAGCTAGACATTTTCTGGGAACTTCCTCAAGATTATTTTTTTTTTTAATGGTTGAGTTAAGTGTTTGGTTACCTTTCAAAAAAAGTCCAGGCTAAAATGTCGCCAGCCTCCATGGTGGCGTTTGGGATGGGACTGGCTAAGATGGTGGGAGGTTCATGGCCCTCACTGCCTCCAGTTTTATGTTTTCCCTGATAAAATTGCATTTGAAAAAGAAGAGGAGGGGGGCACAGTGTTTCCTGTGGTGAAAGACTGAAAACCAGCATTCTGTGGGCTGGAGTGTTCTCCTATAGGTGGGATACTTTATGCGAAGAAAACTTCCTTTGTGATTCTGATAGGCCCCTTTCCTGTCCCTTCCATCCCTGGGAAGAGACCACTGGCTTTGAACTTGGGGTTTCATTTCCAATGAACCCATCCTGAAGAGAAGCATGGCCCTAACCACAATTATGCCTGCTATGCCCTAACTTCTGACCAGACGTGGGCCCATGTATCTTTCAGCAGCGGGCTTTGTCACGCTCTGTTTTCTCAAGATAATGGCAGTCTACGTTCTTGCATGGACTGAGACATGTAGCTTTACCTGAGCAGGATCTGGTTTGTGGGGGAAATTAACCACACCCACTGCTGCTCAGTTGTGGGTCTATAATTTGGAGAGCATGAGAAAGAAAAATGGAGTTCAATCCCGAGATCACGCCATAGGGATGACCAAAGTAACAAAGTGAGCAAGGTCTTGGGTCCACCATTTGGAAGCATTTTTGAACCGTTCCCGGGATAATTCACTCAACTATTGCATGAGGGGTGGGGGGTGGTACCAGACAGAAGTGAGGTTAACAAATGGAGGAGATTTCTTCTTGGCAAAGGCCATCTTCCATGTGGGCCCTGGATCTCATTCTTTCCCATCTTCTTAGATTGCACTGCAATCTGTGAACATACTTTGAGGATTTCTATGTTTTGTTATTCATTAAGACGCATCATATGGCCATTTGGGGAAAACATTTGGCAGTGCTTGAAAAGAATGTGTCA